GAAACGGAAAATATTAAATCTGAATTAGCAAATTTACAAGAAGAAAAGAAAACTAATGAAAAAACCTTAAATGATTTAATTACGGCAATGCAAGAAGATTTTACAAAACAAATTGAAATTCTCAAAACACAAAATGTCGAATTACAAGAATATTGTTCGTATTCGTTTTTACATATTCTCTTCTTTATGTATATCTTTTTTTTTCTAGATGATACAAAAAATAATGAATCAAATCAAACAGACGAACAAATAAAGGAATATCAATCAAAATTCAACCAATTAAATCAAGATATTGAAGGATTACAACAAGATAATGAAAATAAAATTGAAAAAATAAATCAATTAATAACTGAACTTGATCAACAACATCAAGAAAATAAAGAACTAACCAATATCAAACAACAATATGAACAAACACAAAATGAACTTATTCAACATGTAAGTTAAACCATTACTTAGTAAACTATTTGGAAAACACGATCTAAAAGGAGTATTAAAGTCTAAAGAGTAGAAATTTGTATTCTACCTCCTGTCACGTACAGATTATGTCAGGCAGGGTCGACTGACAGACAGTAGCTAGAGATATAAGCTGATTGATGATGAAGAAATGTGTCCCAAAATAGATGGAATAAAACAGTCTCCCTATGATTAGCAACATTATGTTTCACATTTTAATCCTGTATGAATCGCGTTAACAGTCTTTTTTTTTATGTTTCTTTAGACAGAAAATTTAACAGAAATAAATGAAAAACTTAAACAAGAACTTGAAGATTTTAAAAATCAAAATGAACAATTCAAAAATCAAGATAATAATGCCACAACAGAAAAACAAATTTCAAATGATCAATTAAATAAACAATTAAATGATCTACAACAAATGTATGATGATCTTCTTGAAAAACAAACTAGTATTGAACAAAAATATGCAGAAGAAAAAAAAGCTCAGGAAAAAATAATGCAAGAAAAAATTGTTGAATATGAAACGAGAATCATATTAACAAAAAGTAAATTTATAATGATAGAATTTATATTCACATGTTGATCTTTTTTTTAGATGAATATATGGTCGAAATGGAAAATGCTAAACTCGATCATGAACAAGAAATGCTTCGATTTAAAACTGAACTTCAGCAAGCTACTTCAACCAGTAAGGATTTTTTTTTCTATATCTATTTTATTTTGACAAAATTTCATTTTATTATCTAGAGAAAAAAAAATGATTGACAATTTCTTCTAATTTCGAATGATTATCTGTGTGTTATTTGGTTCGGAATGCCATGCATAGTTTTTATATTTTTGATAATTAGATTATATATTTGTAATCATGAATAAATTGTAACCTAATTAATTATTTAGATTGAATGCGAATGTATTATGCATACATTCAAATTGAAATAAATAGACAATAGCTCATTGGATGGATTTTAGAACAAGTATTGGATGATAAATGCTAATTTTGTCGTTTGAGAAGGATCGAAACTAGTACTTATCGAGAATATGCTGATGTAATTGAACACTGGCTTGGAAAATTCAAAACATTTGCGCACTTTATTCGATATTTATCCGAAAGTTTGTTCAACAATTACCTATTCTATCTTCATAAAATAATGGTAGTTGTAGTGAAACTATGCACTTGTGTTTAGACTTTCATCTTTATGTGAAAACTTATTAGTATGTAGTCCTTTGTTCATTGTGCATATTAAAAGATACTGATTTGTTACTTTTTAAATCTCAAGATGTTAAATAATTCGAATTTGAACTTCAGAAAGCACTGTCAATGTTAAGATTTTGATGCAATAACACATGTCGAACATGTTTTTTCTCTGCATAGTAACTATTAATCTGATTTGTTTTCGGTCATATTCACTTGTAAGATCGAGGGATGGTAAATGTCTGTACAAGAACCATGTTTGTCTTGTTTTCTCTCTCTCTCTCTCTCTATATATATATATATATGTATATTTATAAATATCCCACTTCTTTCATTCTTTTTTCGTTCATGTGGTAAGGTCAGAGGTCACAGTAATACTATATGTAAACTGATTTGATTTTTGCTAACATATATACACGGTTTAATGCTGTTTATATTTACAATCTTACAATTAGCGATAATGGATACAATCGAAAAATTAACAGTTTTTATTATTTGTATACCCGATTGCAATTCATGTCTTAGCCATCTGTTTTTTCGCTCGTGAGACTGTTATTTTCCAAAGTAAAAAATTCAATGAATCAAACGTGATATAGTTCAAGTTGCAATAAATGATATTCCTCCACCAATCATTATCAAACAAATAAGATTAAATGCCACCTTTTCGCATCATAACTTCACTATCGACTCTATACGAAATTAACTTTAGTTAGTGTAAATCTCACAACAAGAAGGTTATATCTCACCGTTTCGTTGAGTCTTTTTAATTATAATGACTATGATCATTAACTACTTAATTAACGATCATTAGCAATAGTGAAAAAGCATGATACACTTTGAATTACGTTACCAATATTGTCCGTTTATTAACGGAAAAATTAATCCCAATTAGTGTATCCAACTGAAAATAACACATCATGTGAAATCGCTTAGATATTACTCGTAACAACTGCTGACGTAAGTATCACAACTTACATTGAAAACTTGTAGTTTGTCCCATACATAAATGATCTGTATTACGTTAATTTTAGTTTTGGATTAATAACGGAAATAACCGCAAACAAACGGGATATTCAGATGTGACATTGAACTTCAAAAATGTTTAACTAGTATCTTTATGTTCTTCGATCTCAACAAATCGTTTCTGTTTACTAAGTTACATTATTTTTGTCAGCTTTATATATCAATTCTTGTAAATATGTTTGCAACGCCATCCTACTTTCTTCAAGTGCAAAAGACAACAATACAAATTTAAATCTTTATTGATATGTATTCAGCGTATCAAATTTTCAAGCGTGCACAGTAAAAAAGATCTAAGAAAGATAAACTATGCACAAGCGGTAATTAAAAGTCTAATTGAGCTATTACAATGTGTTATCACTTCTTACCATATTGATTGTTAGCACATATGTTACATTTGAAATAAAAAATGTGCCTAAATCTATTATATTGAACATGACAAATACGACATGCGGTTAAAGATTAAGCAATGCTTAATTAACTATTTTTTGTATTTTTTTGATATAGCACATCTTTGCACCATATTATGAAACTTTATTTGTTCTGTCTCTTATTGTCATCTCATTATCGGTTTCTAATGTGACATTTGTTGATTAAATAAAGCATATTTTAAACAATCAAGCACCAATAAAAAGTTCTTTAATGTTCATGTCGTGATAACCGATTGAAGAATGTTGATTAGCCGCTGTTTACTGCTCAGCTTACTGTGAAGTGAGCCATGCAGTTAACTGCGGATCTTCTATCTATTTGAATTTTTTTATACCTCCTTCGATGAATATTTCTAAACTCTTACAAAAGTGTCAGACATCAGTCATAATCGAGCTCAAGTCAATATGGCTAGCCCAAATCTGCTGTTTTCAGTTGATGTATGTGTTTGACCATATATTAAGGATGTCGTCACAAAAATTATCATTTGTAAGAACGATACACTATTAGAGTAAATCGCGGCACCATCTAATATTCTAAACTGAAATATTTTAATCTAATAACGACCCATCTGGTCAATTTTCATCGACTTTTGGCAAAGTTATGGTTGTAGTACTATCATATTGTGATCCGTGATTGTGAAACATGCTACCATGACTACGCGTAAATGCAATGCATTTATCATAACTATGCATCATTGCGATTCCTCCGTGCAACCACATGTAACTACGACATGCTTATGCATAACTACAACGCATTTCTTCTTAATTACGAACCGCAGTAGAGCCGTAATTTGGCCATAAATCGCGGTCAACTGTTGATTTATGATGAATAACAGACGACATGAATACTTCGTACAAAGAACAGTTTGCCCACTAATGAATCTGAAAATGTTTGTGTTATCAATTTTAAAGAAACTATTTTTATGAACAAAAATGAATGTGAATTTGTATTTAACTATTAAAGAAGCGGTATTCTCATAACTAAGTTTGATAGAACTATCTAAATCAAGAGATTCGATAAGTGTTACTCATTACAAACAAAAGCTGAAGTCTTAAGAGTTGAGAAGAAAACAAGATAGTGTATTCGATGAACTTATGTAGGGCTTATCACATGTTTTGATTTTTCTCCTCAATAAATATTTGTTTGACACCGTCCAGGACGAACAATCCGATGATCAGATTTCGTCGAAATCCGATATGATCCTGACGGAGTTTTTGGAGATTTGATCGAATCTGGTGATTGGAATCTGATAACAGAGATTTCAGCAGCCACGTAAGTGGATCCTATCAGAGTGATCCCTACCCGATAGGATCTGACAAGGATGAGTGCACTTAGGCGGCTATTTTTTCTTCAGCTATCAGTATTGCAAAATATATTAAAGCCTGCTTACATCCTTAGAAATTTTCAGAAAGACTTTGATAGCAGAAAGTTCTATTATAACAATTGAAATAAAAAATCCTTCAAGATTTTTTTTTGAAATTTATCATGCTCTACATTTTACATGAGACTGTTTTTTTATAGTTGCACTTTTTGTTTTCAAAATCGACCGAACAATCAAATTTCAGCCATGCGAAAACAATATTTTTTTTGTACAAGATGGATTGTTTTTTTCTTATTTAATTTTTTAATCACCTGATATCCTTTATTTAAAAAAAAAAGCCAAGTATATCACTAGATGCAGTATGAAAAACTCTAAAATTTATACACTACAGTTTATTGTAATTGTTTTCAAAAAAAAGGAAAATTTGCTGTGATCAATTTTTGCACAGTTGAAATTTGATTGCTCCAAATCTTGTCTATTTTGAAAACAAAAACTGCAACTATAAAATAAGCGATCTTACGGATATTGTACAGCTTTTCACGCTGTATCTTGTGGTATAATTTATTGAAAAAAGTTCGCAAAATTTTTCTATTTATATCGATAGGAAAAATGTTGCGAACTTTTTCTCCTTACCTTAGATTTTATTTAGTTTGAGATGGTTTACTATCTGAACACTTCTTTAAAAGAAAAAAATTGAATATGTCTTTGGTTTTATCGTACTCTTTTTTTGGCAATATTGAAAGTTGTACGTTTTTCTCATCAGAATTTTCAGAACGAATATTAGTTAAGAAAGGAACCAACTACAACAAATCCGGAATAGCTTTCTTTGCATAAATGTCGTTCTTTTACCTACTAGTGTCTATGTGGCTGGTATCTTTCATTACAAACTATCTCTATTCAAGTACAAAAAGAATGATCAGAAAAAAAGAATTTTTTTTAAAATGAATTACGATATAATATAGTTAATTCATCTTTCATAAGTCTCAATCTAGTACATATGAACACATAATTGAAATTTTGACCCCATCGCTGTATATAAAAACTCAGCATAGTTCCATTTAATTTATCATATTAATGATGGTGGTTTAAATTCTAAACAAAGAGCCTTACTAGGAAACCTCTCTCAATGATAAATCGCTTTTGTCAGAAGACTCACTTTATGAATGATCTAGTTTGGCTGAAAAATTTACTTTTGCATGAGTTGTTTAAGCCAGATGGAAATATTTCAAATATTTTTTCACTTTAATAGTTATGCTTTGATTTTTGAGTTCTACTAGTTCAGAAACTTTCACAGTATCGAGAGAAAGTCGATGTTATTGGGAAAACATTTCGAAAAAAAAAAATCTCCAACTGCTAATCAAAAACACTTGGTATCAAAAAAGTATAGCTCAAGATGATATTATTACTGAAAAATTGTCATATTTTGCTTGATGTTTACCAATCCAATCATAGTAAACCATTTTCACTTTTTCATACGTATAGGGTATCCCAAAATTATAGGACCCCCATACATTCATACAATAATATTTGTTTCATTAAGAACGGTTTATATTATTAAGCTATTATAACCTATTTATGTAAGCATGGTTGTCTTCTAACTATTGCTATTGTTGATTGTCTTTATCTGCTCCTCTATAGATGAAATAAATATTATCGTATGAATGTATGGGGCGGGGGGGGGGGGGGGGGGGGTCTATAATTTTTGGACACCCTATACAATTGTGACTTTCTAATTCATGTCGTAGACGCATAGGCGATTTGAAAACTTTTATTTAACAGCGAAGATTACCAATGTTAATCAAATCATCTTGAAAAAATCTTTCCGTATGTTTTAGTAATATAAAATTAATTTAGACGAATTCTTTTGGAAGTTTTAAAAATTTATATTTATTCCAGCGTGTATATTTACAAAAAAAAATTAAAATGAAAAAAAAAACTCAAGCAAATAAACAACAATCCCCTGATGAACTGCTATTATAATCATTTTGTCTAGATGATGATTTAAGCAAAACTTGAATAGATGATGTAGGTGATATTGGTTCTGATCTAAATAATGATTTATTATACATAGAACTATTTTCTTTAATCTGTTGTAATAATGATTCATTTTGTAGAATTCGTATTATTAATTGTTTAAACATAAATTGAATATTATCACCACGTAATGCAGATGTATGACAAATAGGCATATCATGTAATGATGCAAAATATTCAGCACGTTCCAAAAATATTTTTCGATAATTATCATCACAATTGTCTTCAAATATATCAATTTTATTACAAACAAGTATAGATTCTACATGTTCTTTTCCTTTTAATTGTAATTGTTTATACCAATGAAGTTCTATACGTTCAAGTGTATCAATATCAGTTGAATCAGTAATTAAAAATGCACCATGACAATTACGAAAATGATTATCACAACATGATTCAAAACGTTCCATACCAGGTATATCAGAAAGTTGAATTGTAATAACATATTGATCATCATATAATTGATCCAAATAAAAAAAATGAAGATCAGGTCCGATAGTTACTGAAGAATTTGTATGTACAAAATTTGATTGTAAACCACATTGAAGATAACGAGAAAGTGTTGTTTTACCCGTATTTGAACTACCAAGAAGACTAAGACGAATATTAAGTTTAGGTTTATTATTCCATGCTATTGGAACACGACTATAACGAATATTAAATGTAAGAAATTGATTAGAAGATAAAATTGTTTTTTGTCGTGTACAATATTCTTGTATAGCATTTTTTAAATTAAAATTATTTACAAAACGACGATCATCTAATGGTTTATTTGTTATTGGTGAAGAATTATGACTTTGTAACCAATGTTCTATAGCATATAATTCATATGAATGACCCTATAATTAATATTATATGTATATTTTTTTTATTGTCAAATAAACTTACATCTTCTATAAGTAATACAGGATTTTGCATAATTTCTCGAGTTATTGGACAGATAAAATCATGAGGTACTGATAATGTGTCTTGACTGGTCATTGCTTCTACTATCTGTTCTAATCGACGTTAATGTTTAGAAGAAATATACTTTGTTCGTTCGTTAGTGCGTCACCTTACGACAGTCTTCACCCTTCAGTGATTTTCATCACGTTTTAAAGGTAATAATATTGAATAGGAAAAAATGCAACACTATCTTTTTTTTTTGTATATTACTTTCAATTCTGTCTCATATTTTTTCTCGTCATGTTTGTTTTTATCATGTAATACATGTCGTCTAATAACTTTTTCCAAAATGTTGTCTCATATAATATTTTCTTTTCTTTTCTTTTCTTTGATTAAATATTCACAATGACACAGATATATATTAACAAAGTAGTGATACAAATAAAAAACAAAAGCAATTAATATTAATGTAGACGTAGTAAGGTGGTGATTGTTTCAAGCAAATAAAAATACATTTATTCAAAAGTTCGCCCAACAAACAACCATTTTCGATATTTTTATGAGATGTTCGATAGAGCTCAACGAAAATGCTACAAAAATATATTTAGTAATACGTTTTGCATGGAATAATATTGAAAGAATTAATGGAAATTTTTTTTTTTTGATAAAATAAATATACCTATACTAATGAGAAAAGTTTTTTAATTGATTAATCGTTCTTGAAGTAGAAATATTTGCATAATG